TATGTAGGCATGTAGACGTGTTCAGGAAAACCTGCAGAAGTTCAAAGCTACATCAAAATTGAAAGTTTATGAGGAAAATGACAGAAGATAGGTGTTGAAGATATGATTCATGCTTCTTTTACAGTCAGCTGGTTGTTTCCGTCCCCACCTCTTTCACACATCCCACTGCTGAGCTGTTCCTTTCTGTCTGTCTATTGTAGGTTTCATAGGCAGGCACTAACCCAGGATTTAATTTCAGAAGAAAAAAGGGTAGCTTTACAGCTCTGTGCAGAAGGAAAGCAGGTAGTGAGATAAAGAGAGAAATTCAGGGAGAAACAGGGTAGGCCCACGCTCTTCTCTTCTCAACCTTGCTCTAAAGGGTGAATTGAATCATAACAGTAAGTGGGCGAAAAGAAAGAGAAAAAAATCCTTTCCACGCAGATTCTGACGTACATCTCTAGCTGACTGGGGGTCATCTGATGATGTGATGAAGTAGGATAATGGGAGTATAGGAAAGAGAGAAAGTGATGGAGAGGGAGTTGTTGATAGCTTCCAACAGCTCTGGGTGTCTCCCTCTCTCTCTCTCTATTGGATTTTAATGGCTGTCTCTTTGTAAAATCTGTCCAGCTGGGGGAAATTGTCGTGACTTTCTTCCAGAAGCTGACTTAAACATACATCATATGTCATACATATTAGACATACGTATGACTTAGGAATTAACTGTTTAAAGCAAATGTCTACACTGAGTGTTGGCAATAAAGACTCTACTCTGGTAAAGAACTGTGGAACATATTCAGGGCAATAACAGTAGTTCTTATAGATTAAAAACCCCCCAAAACAAAAACAGAGAGTAAATGAACACTGATGTGTTAGCTGACATTTTATTTTAGCTGTGCAAAGCAGCAACTGCATTTTCATAGTAAACCAACAGAATGTTTTTTTTTATTAATAATGCTGTTATTGCTACGTGAAGGCTTTGTGTTATGTGTTTTTGCCTTTTATACCACTTAGCTACCACAATTAGTCAACTATTTTGACCATTTTTTTTTTTAAATAAAGATTGTAAAGTATTTCATTTGGACTTTAATAACACAATAATCAGCACATTATGTCAAACAAAGATGCACAGATGGATTAAACAGTGTAATATATATGGTGTTGCATTGACAATGCACAATGATTTGGTCCTCAGAACATCAACTTGGGGCAACCGGGCATACTGTTGTGATTCTGTGTACATTATTAGAGGAGGAGGAAGGCTATAGAGTGAGCATGTGTGTGAGCTCCTCACATTTCTTCTGAATACAACAACAGAAGAAATACACAAGAATAACAAGAGAAAACTGGTTATTTAGATCCCCACACTCAAAAAAAATAACAATTTGAATGAACATAAACAAAAATCATGGAAAGGATTTCCACGTGATTAAATTGCATTTCTGAATTTCATGCAGCTCTAACATGATATAATTACGTTCACCTTAGAAACAAGAAATTTTTCTGTTCCAATTACAAGTTAGACTCTTGTAAATGTAACAACCACCCAATTTACTTATTTTTTTAATGCATAAGCTATACTGTGACAGTACGGTTACTTCTTTGGTGGTTTCATATATAGCCAGGGGTTTCAGACTTTGGATGAATTGGCATGAAGTTTTTGTCCACTTCAGTACTTCAGAAGCAACAGCATATCTTTTACTTATTCTTACAATGAAACAGCTCTTCAGTTTCATTTTTATTCATTGTGGTAATGTACATAACTAAATCCCTCCACCCCATGGAGGAATACATTAGCTACATATTAAGACTTTGTCAGATATTTTCACTGCTGGTCACATATTGCATACCTCAGCCCTGACGTGGGTCATGAAGAGTTAGAAGTCCCTGGGCTTTTTGCGTGAGAACCTGTATTCATGGACAAATACTAAGGTCAGAGAGCCATCGGATCTCATTTTAGGGTGAGTATAGGGTCATTTGATCCTTACAACCATTGCAAGAGATTGGTCCATGGCAATAAGTTGGACTCCACCAGGGATGGACTTTGTCACCGATTGTGTTCATGATTTTTATGGACAGAATTTCTAGGCATAGCCAAGTGGCAGAAAGTGTCTATTTGATCTCAGAAACTTGTCACAACTCAAAGCACCTCCAAGTTCAAGGCCATGGTCCTCAGCTGGAAAAGGGTGGAGTGCTTGCTCCTGGGAGAGGTGTTCCTGGCAGGTCCCACAAGGAGGAGACCCCTGGGGCAGACTCAGGACATACTGAAAGGTTATATCTTTTGACTTGCCTGGGAACACCTTGGTGTTCCCCTGGAAAAGCCGGAGGAGGTAGCTGGGGAGAGGGAGGCCTGGGTGTCCTTGTTTCTCTATCCAAATTTGAACTTCCTACAATTATTCAGCTATCTTCCATAATTACTAAGTTAAAGTCATCATCATGTCTTTTGGATAAAAGAACATGCTATTGTGCTCTGAAATTTATTCCACTGCTTCATCCAAAGCAACAAGACAGACAAAGTTTTTATATGATTTAGCATTATAGAAATGAATTCTAAAATGCTAAACGCCTATATACATTTGAATTATTATTGCAAAGTTTGCATTGCATGACTAAGTGTAATTGATTCATACTTTATGCATATTGTGGTCCCTGTATATTGCGTCTTGTATAAGGATTGTACACCAGCCCATTGTCAAAGGGAAAACTACAGAATCCTGATTATAGTTAGCTGGTTTTATCTTTATCTATATTAAAGGAAATTGAAACCTGAACAGTCCAAGCTATATCTAACAGTGAAAGCACCAAGCAACCATGGGTTCTCCCTGGAAATGCCTCATATTAGACTGCATTCCTTATGTGAAGCATTTGTAATGCAGTCATAAAGTTATGCACAGATCATGGTCAGACCTTCTGAGAGATGGAGTAATATAAATATCTGAGATCAGCTGAAGTGGACTCACTGCTCTACATCTAGTTACAGCTTGCCACTTCCACTGGAGAGTAGTCATGGAGGCAGGTTAAATGAATAAAGGCAAACCTGTAATCACTGATAAAAAATAAAGATAAAAAAAGAGTAGAAGAAACACACAATCTCCTAAGTAAAACAAAACAGGAAGACAGACCAGAAGTAGAAAGACCAATAGAAGAACAATATGGCCAAATTTACTAACAACATCAAACCCTATTTTGGTGTTTAAAAGGCCAATTTTGCCCACAGTATACAGTGTCTGAAATGAATGGACAATGGAGTTGCGGTGGAGGTGTGTTCTGAGGGGAGGTGCAGCGGGCTTGAGGGACAGTGCCAGGGAGGCTGTTAGGGCAGCTGACAGCACTTAAGTAATTGCGGTCATGCTACTTCAGTGACGCTGAAGAGGAGAGGGAAGTGTAGGTTGTGACAGCTCGAAAGCTGCGGCAAAGCACAACACACAATAAAAGAGTTCTCACAGCTGCTGTGTGTGTTCTGGGTCCTAACTGTTCACAGTGGTGCCGATACCCAGGGCCGCAAGATGTCTGATCCACAGACTGTGCAGCCAGTGTATGCCCTGGCTCAGTTGTTGGCAGAGCTGGGGGCTATGCACCGGGAGCAGGGAGCGGCCCAGTGCAAGCAGCTAGAGGTGCTGCATGACTAGGCTGAGCGGCAGACACAAGTGTTCAAAAACCTGGTCGCTCTGGTGCCTCTTCTCCGCTGTTTTCGCACAGGATGACCAAAGGGGGGTGATCCACAATCCTTTCTGGAGGTTCTCAAGGTCACAACTGCAATTACCCTGTCGTCGATGTTGAGGTGTGACTTAAATGGTGTTTGCAAGGCTATCCCAGACCAGGCGGGTCTGTTCCTGGAGGTCCAGCAGCGACGGGGGGGGTTATATGGTGGTGCAAAACCGACCCTTTCCTTATCCCCAATTGCTGTGGGATGGAGTGATTGCAACCTGGCCTTTCACCGGGAGAAGCACAGCTGCTCGACCTGATCATGCTGGAGCACTTTATAGATGGGGGTGGGGTGGGAGGCAACGCCAAATTCTGGCCCAGAGGAAAAGGCTTCCCAGCAGTCTCCCAACACCTCCGGCCACTGAGGAGTGCCTGCGATGTAATACTAATCCATTCCTCTCTGCTGCCTCTCCCCAGGTCCCGGCGGCTGCGGGCATTGCACCTGACTCACTGATGGTTGTACAGATGTCAGGGCATGAGTGTTGATGGTACGGGACACCTCCTCCATGAGTGTCTGTTACTGGAGGTGGGTCAGGTGTTCTGCGTCGCCGGGCCCCCAATACCTTCCCTCAGTCCAAAAGGGATGGCTTTGTTCTGTTCAGGTGCCTGGGGGGGTACACGTCAGGCTATGGTGGACTTGGGCTGTATGCAGACCCTGGTCCACCATACTAGTGCAGAGTTACTCACCAACTAACAAGGACCCTTTGTGGTCACACGGCGAGTGGGTAATGTTGAGTATGAAGTGGCGCAGTCGGACAGGGGAGGAGCCACAAAGGGGGTATCAGCTTAACCTCCTAAAAAGCGTGGAGAGATGGTGATGCCAAATTCCACCATTCCCACCTCTACCACCATCTTACATAGGCCCAGAGAGCAGATTTTCTATGGTTTGTGACATGCCATTATTTCTTGTAGTTTGTCAGGATTTTTAATATATTTGGAATGAAAGGGGGAAGGTTTATCACAATAAGTGGTAGATGTCTCAAAGTTGTGAGCACAGTGTTAGGCTCACTCCTGTAATACTACACTGAGTCTTCAATCTGCAGAACTGAACTGAACTGAACCTGGAGTGTCAGAGTGAGGGAGGAAAATCCTGACATAGGCATCCAGACACATGTATGTGTCTTGCTTTAGAAGCAGCCAAATTAGTTTTTACAATGCACGATGGGTTTGCAGTGTCACACAACTATTAATGGGATTGTGTTAGAGTAATGTCTAAATTACACAATTTGTATTACTGATATTAACTAGCACCTATAGGCTCTCATATGCACCTGTATATACCGTAAAATCCTCAGGTAGAGGTTTTTTGTCTGTTCCAGGGGTCCACCTGAAAACTAAAAGGGACAGAGCCCCGAGGCTCTGGAACGACCTGCACAAGGAAATCAGGTCGGTGGAGTCAGTGACTTTCTCCAAGTCATATCTTAAAGCACACTTTTATGATAATAAAGATTTTGATTTGCTTTGAATTGTCTTTTTATTTCCTGTATTTGATACTTTTGCTTTTTTAAGCAGTTTGTACTGTGCTTTCTATATAGAAAGAAACACGTAAACATACAGAAAAGAAAAAACTGATTTAGTGACTTGGTAGGCAGAGATTAGGATCTCTATTCAGTTCAGTTCAATTAATTTTTATTTATATATTTTACCAAATAGTCACCTTGAGACACTTTACATTGTGAGGTAAAGAGCTTACAATAATACAGTCTGACACGTCACACAAAAAGAATAAGTATATAAGTGTACATAGTGTGCATAATTTGTTTGTCATAATCAAGTTACACTGAGAAAAGATGGAAAGAGAAAGTAAAGGGGATTCGCTCTCTTGGCACCAAGAGTTAGTGCTGTGTCATAAAAACTTTGGCTTGGATACTTAGCTGTAGAAGATTTTATCAGTGTTATTGTAGGGTCTTTACCTTATAATATGAAGTGCATTGAGGGCACTTTTGTTGTGATTAATAAATATTAATATAGATAAAATGAAATGCCTTGAATATCCCATTCTTTTGAAAGCTTTCACTCATAAACCTCTTCAAATATAAAACCTTAAAGTGAAAAATAGATGGATACATTTTATACTGTAATCACCATAAATGAAGAACAGTGAACAGTTCTTCATTCATCCATTTCAATCTAATCTAATAAATAGATACAATATACAGAAAAAAATATTATTGTGTATTAATTTCCACATGTGGATGTTATTTCTGAGACTGGTGGAAAATGAAAAATGTTCAGACTTCTATTTGAATTGTGAGAATGACTTACAGTTTTCGAGTACTTACACAAGTGGAGGAGTTCAAGTATCTCGGGGTGTTGTTCACTAGTGACGTTAGAAGGGAGCAGGAGATCAACAGACAGATTGGTGCTGTGGCTGCAGTGATGTAGACACTGCACCGGCCTGTTGTAAAAGCGAAACATCTCAACTTACCGGTCGAGCTACATCCCTACCCTCACCTATGGTCACGAGCTATGGGTAGTGACCGAAAAAACTATGAACTATTATATAATTGTAACCCACATAATAGCAACTATAATCCACATAATTCCCTTAGGGTTTAATAAAGTATGATGATTCTGATTCTGAAGAAAGAGATTGCGGATACAAGCGGCATTTTTAAGTTACTCTTTGTTATAAATTCAACATGACCTCACAAAGTTGGCAGATGCCTTAACACCAATTTTAATAACATACTCTGAAATGCATACTTTAAAAAACTGGATTGTAACAGTAATTTAAGAATCAGACAAATCTTTTGTGGCATTCAATAAGAACGTTTTAGAGACAGGTAGAGATGAGGGGGGCTGCTTGTCAACAGATGTGTAAAAATCACAGGCATATTGAGGATATTTGGGCCAGGATTTGGAAGTCACTGCCCTTTTGTGGGGATCGGAGAGCTGTTTGAATGGTCACCTAATGTGTGACAAAAGAATCTCCTGTGATGCTAATAACAGTCTGTGCACTCTTACCTTTGGTCTTAAAATTACTGCAGCGATTTACCAGAGATGTCCAGAGGGCAGAGTAAAAAAAAAAAAATACAGGTGTGTAAACATACACGGCAGACCCAGTGGCATTTTGATGCTTTTTATTAAAGCTTTGACGGTTGCTGTCCACAATACTCACAGAGCTGCAGCTCTCCTGCTGCCCGCTCAACACTATCACAACAACACAACCACAGGACCCAGTACAATATTTAATTCGGCGGGGCGTGATTGCGGATGCCGTGCAGGTGCGTCCACCTCCTCTGCACGGCACCGCAGGCCACGCCCCGCCACATACCCCCATCGCCCGACTGAGGCCGGGGAACCATCCGGCCGAACGTACTCCCCCCCCCACCGCGAGCGGGAGAGGGGATCAGCCCGGACCGTCGGCGCCCCCGGGCCCTGGCCAAGCGACGGGGAGTTGTGAGTTCAAGTGGCTGCCCGCGAACCCAGCAGCTTCGGTGAAGCTGGTCCAGAGGTCGGCCACGTGGCAGGTGGACGCGGCGCGGTCGGTACGGTCGTGCGCCCCGGCTCGCAGGCAGCTGGGCAGATGTCGGCAGGCACCGGCCCTGGTGGAGGTGAGGCCGCTCTGCTCACCCGCTAACCTCGGGCTTCGGTGGCGCGGACCACCGACTTATCCCGCGGCTTCTCCACCCCTCCCGGTGGGAGCAGCTCACATTCCCCTCGCTGCGCCTCCGCCGCTGCCCCTACCGGCTGGAGCGGCTCCTCGGGCGCCGCCATCGCCGCTGCCCCTACCGGCTGGAGCGGCTCCTCGGGCGCCGCCTCACCGCTGCCGGCTCCGCCGCCTTCTTCCGGGGCGCAGGAACGGGCACCGGGCCCTGCAGAGCCCCAGCGGCTCCTACGCGAGGTGTCGCAACCTGGGGGCCGGCACGGGCGCCTGCACGGACTGGATCTCCTCCACTCCAGCGCCATTGGGGAGCGCCGGTGGGGGTGGTGGTGGTGTCGGGCAGGACCGGATCAGCGCCGCCAGATTCTCCATCCTCTGCAGATGGCGTTCAGTCTGGTCCTGCAGCTCTTCCCGCCTGCGGCGCCACACCGCCGCCTGCTCCTGCTGCGTGGCTGCCAGCTCGGCCACCATTCTCGCCAGCTCTTCCCTCTGCTGGCCCACCCCTGGATCTGCCGTGCCTCCCGTCCTGGGTTTCGGCACCACTGTAAACATACACGGCAGACCCAGTGGCATTTTGATGCTTTTTATTAAAGCTTTGACGGTTGCTGTCCACAATACTCACAGAGCTGCAGCTCTCCTGCTGCCCGCTCAACACTATCACAACAACACAACCACAGGACCCAGTACAATATTTAATTCGGCGGGGCGTGATTGCGGATGCCGTGCAGGTGCGTCCGCCTCCTCTGCACGGCACCGCAGGCCACGCCCCGCCACAAGGTGATTCACAGCAGGCAATTTACTGCATTTTAAAATTATGCAATATATAAATTACTGGTAAAACTACTGTTAAGACATTTAATTTTAAGACAGCTACATAATATATTTAATAAATTGTGTTATTAAAGAGTTTACTGTTTGCAGAGTCATTTATTAATAACTATTAATTCTCTTTCCTGTCAGCACATAGAGTTGTTGTACTTACACCTATCTAAATAACTAAATAGATACTGTAGATTGGACATTTGTGGGACATGTACGAGTTGGAATGTCCATATATGTCCCTTTTTAAAGCGCAGAATTTTTTCCAGAATGCTGAAACAAATCACAAAAGTGATATTCTAAGATTAGCAGCAGACAACCTAAATAAGCAGACATAACTGATGTTGCCAATAATGGTGAGGGTTACCAATAGGGTCACTGACCTTGTTAATCACCTGAAATGTTTAAAATAAAGTTTCACATATTTCTGTAAAAAATACACACACGTTGTTGCACAATTGGAGAGCATTTCAATTTCAGTTTTTGCATTTTGTATAAGAATACTGGCAGTGCAGTTATAATAACCACATTCTGTAGGTGAGAGTAACTTCCAGTGTTTTTGCTTTCTTTTCTGTTTGTCCATTTGTACACCATAGACGAGTTTTATTAAGCAGTGAAATTGATGCTACAAAATGAGTGTAAAGTTGATCTACTAATAATAATGTTTTTATGCTTTCATGTTCAGGAACACAAGTCAGCAATAATCACAGTGTGCAAGCATCACTTTCTGTCTTCTGTCTTGCTTATTAAATGTGCACAACATCCAGTTTATTTGCTGCAGGCAAATATCTAAATCACTATTATATAGAAAGGCACAACACTATGATTCTGTTATAATTATAGAATCCCTGAACAAAGGTCTGCCTGTAAATGAATGCGCATTCACACCATTCCCAATGGTGAATACACAAGACATCCATCCATCCATCCATCCATCCATCCATCCATCCATCCATCCATCCATCTTAATCCGCTTATCCAGGGCAGGGTTGTGGGGGCAGCAGCCTAAACAGAGAATCCCAGACCTCCCTCTCCCCAGCCACTTCCTCCAGCTTGTCTGGGGGAACACCAAGGCGTTCCCAGGCCAGAGAGATATAATCTTTCCAGCATGTCCTGGTTCTGCCCCGGGGCCTCCCCCCGGTGGGACATACTCAGAACACCTCACCCAGGAGGCGCCCAGGAGGCATCCTTGTCAGATGCCCAAACCATCTCAACTAGCTCCTTTTGATATGAAGGAGCAGCGACTCTACTCTGAGCCCCTCCCGGATGGCTAAACTTCACACCCTATCTCTAGGCCAGCCACCCTTTGGAGGAAGCCCAGTTCTGCCACTTGTATCCGAGATCTCGTTCTTTCAGTCACTACCCACAACTCGTGACCATAGGCGAGGGTAGGGAATAGAGATCTTTCTCTTTTACACTCAGCTCTTTCTTTACCACAACAGACTGGTGCATCCACATCACTGCAGCCGCAGTACCAATCTGTCTGTCGATCTCCCTCTCCCTTCTCCCGTCACTCGTGAACAAGACCCCGAGATACTTGGGGCAGGAACTCGCTCAAAAACCAGAGTGGGCACTCCACCCTTTTCTGGCGGAGGACCATGGCGTCAGATTTGGAGGTGCTGATTCTCATTCCCTCTGCTTCACACTCGGTTGCAAAACTGTTCCAGTGCGAGCTGGAGGCCATCACCTGATGAAGCCAACAGAACCACATCATCTGTGAAAAGCAGAGATGAGATTCAAAGACCACCCAAGTGAAAGCTTTCCGCCACTTGGCTATGCCATAAATTGTGTCCATAAAAATTATGAACAGAATTGGTGACAATGGGCATCCCTGGCAGAGCCCATCACCCACCAGGAACAAGTCCGACTTATTGCCGGCTCTGCGGACCAAGTTTTTGCGATGGTTGTATAAGGATTGAATGGCCCGTAGCATTGGGCCAAACACCCCATACTCCCGGAG